CACACTCAAAGCAGGAGATATGAATAAAATATGGCTGAGTAACAAAATATAAATCTTAGAAAATACTGCAATCTATTCTTAGACACTAAACTCCTTCATGAAGAAATTAATGGAAAGACAAATAGACAGAAAACACCTAGTATGACTTAAACTGGTGCTAAAAAATATTTAGATAAGAAGGCTTTCCAACACACACTTTCAGCCTGACATTTAAAGCTAAGGTACAGAAAACAAGAACATGTCAAAAAAAAAAGTGTATCTATATACACATATATTTCCCACACACAAGTATACATGTCAAAGAGTTGCTGTTCATTTTGCATTGTGTAATTCTGTGGCGTACAACAGGCTGCACTGCTGTCCATTATTCTCATGTGGCTGTTTGGATGATTTTATTGTTACTGAGTGAATCTGAGCTTCATCTACACAGACTAAGCTGAAACATTGTTGTTCTTACTCTGACCAATTAATAGATTTATACCTTATGTTTTCACCTGAGACAAACAAGGAAACAACAAGCAAATGATTGCTTTGGCTGTTGGTCTGGTTGCAATGTTTTTCTTTTGTTAGTGGCTGATTGTTTTTGCATCGGAACAAACGAGTCCTTATTCCAGTGCCGGCCGGGGTCCAACTGGCCAAACAGTTTATATAACCAGACACAAACACTTAACTTAATGGATGGATCTGATTTACTGTTCCAGCTAGTCAGTTGTTTGGCACTTGTTGTCATGGAAAATCTCTTGGAGGTGGGTTAGCTCTCCAAGCATGAATTATCATTAATATTGTCCTGCCTCATAATGAAGAGGATCAAGTTTAGCATTCGGCTCAGATTCATGTTTTCGAAAAGCAGCATCAACTACAGATGTCTTTGGCCAACAGCTAGACTTGAGCCCCCAAGTAACACAAACACACAGTTGCGGATATGCATGCCGCTCTTTATCTCTCGCGCTCAGTTCATGCACAAGAGACAAAATTTGCAGTTTCTCACAGTCTCGTCTTGCTGTTGTTTGACTTACTCCATGGCTTCTGACCCCAGCTTGGCTGAGGTGGATGGACTCTTGGCCCCGGCTGCAGCTCCAACTGGTTCATTTCCAGCGTAGTGTGTACATGTGTGTTTGCATGTCTTGACACATAGAGCCATTTCTTTCCAGTGTCCTAATAGTTCCACTGAAAACATCCAGAATTCCCCTTGTTTTTTTTATGTCTTGCTTGTTCCTTTTGGTGGTACTCGTTTCCTGTTTCTTTTTCTTTTTTTTTTGAATAATTAAATTGGCAGCCTGACTTGATTTGACTTTTATCTGTGAAAACATCCAAACACATTCATGGGGTTTTATTATAACTGATGTTATATTTATTTAAAAATAATATATTTCAAACAGCAATAGAGACGCTTAAAGATCTGGTTTTGATAGTATTTTGTGTTAGTGGTTTTTGAGCACACTTTTATGATTTCCGTTTGTGCAAATGTTCAATAGCATGGATGTTATTCATTACACTTCACAATTATGTTCTAGTTTGTGTTGGTCTATCACATAAGATCCCAATAAAATACAAGTTTGAGGTTGCGAAATTACAAAATGTGAAAAAGGTTTTTTTTTTTTTTTTTCCAAAAACCTGTGCAAAGCACTTCCTCACCAAAGCCCACATGCATTGGGCTTTGATGATTTTAAAAGTGTTAAAGTCTTAACTCTTTTGTCAAGACACAAAAAGAGTTAAAAGTTCTGCTTTCTAAGTTAAACTGTGTTAATGGGTTAGTGTTTCTCATTGTGCAACTCTCTCTGACAGTTCCTCCCAAAGTGTTTGATAAGGAAGTAGACAAATTTTCTCTTTTTGGATCTTCCTGCTGACCGTAGCTTGAAAGACGGCAGAACGTGGGACAAGTATGCGTTGCAGCTGGAGCTCTGAGTGCATGCTTGTACGGCGACGCTAATCAGCTTTTTAGAGATGGGCTAATATCCTTATACTAGTTGAGATGGGTGGGGCTATATTTAGAGACTCACTCCCTCTTAACAGGGATAAAACTGGTTCTGTTCTCCCATCGTCTCTGCTTAAACTTATCAAGAAACCTCTGTAAGGAAAATGAAACCGAAGCAAATCCAGAAATTATTTAAAACTTTTTTCTTTGAGATGAGCTCAGAGGGAAAAAAAATTAGAATTACGGTGTAGGTGTAAAACACTAAGTAGAATTATTATTATTTAGAGTTAAAGACAAAAACCAGATTGTGATGATGAAAGAGGCTAAAAGACACATTTGTCTCAACGTCAGCAGGGAAAGTGACAGCTGGAGGTCAAGGCTTGCAGGCATTAGATGATGCAGACCTGGATCTGATCCACTCAGCAGGCCAACATGTGTTCTTGGAGGCCAAGACTCCGCTGGTAGTAAGGTCTTAGCATAAACGTGCCATCCACCTGCTGTTTGAGATGCAGTCAAAGCCAAGGAAGTTGGCACACGGCGTTATGACGTCTGCTGACGCTCGTCCGTGACGTCTTCTGGAGGGGAAATCCTTCACGCTCAGCTGTCAGTGAAAGTGGGGATTTTGTGGGCACCTGGGAACGTCGACTTAACGTGCCCTTACTATGAGCAACCAAGTCTACAAATAAGAGCAAATCAAAAGGGGGAAGGAAAAAAAACCCAGAAAAATGAAACAAGACATTTTTGATGTTTTTGATTTTATTGATCAAGTCAATCAACTTGACACCTGAACAACTGTCAGATCATCATCATTTTGTCTGAACGGCACAACACCTCAGAGCGCGCACATACACACTGGCTCACGCACACACACACACACGAACACAACAAAACATGAACTTTAATTCAACAAAACCTCCATTCAGCTGTGCTGCTCTTCATCAGCTGAAGTAAAACTTTCACAAAGAAACATACATCACACGGCCTGCTACACCAGCCCCGACAAGTTCTGTACAAAAATAGAGATCACAACATATAAAAATAGGAGATCTGACATGTTTTAGAAAATTTGCTGAGTGCTTTTTAAATTTTTTCATGTATGCACCTGTGTTCTTTTCATGAGAGTCAGACAAATCCAGCACAGGACCAAAGTCGGTTGTTGCTGTTGAAATGTCCGCGTCACTGAGCGTGCTACGCGCTTTTTCCACTCATCGAATGTCCTCTTCATCAGCTAAAGCCCTCAAATCCTGACTCTTATTTGTTTTTTTCAGTGCATTCATATGTCATGGGACCATTTTAATCTTTGTTTTACCTCAGTTCATAAGTCAGTGGAAAAACAAGCCAGGAGGCAAAAATGGTCTCCTGGAGAAAACGTAAACATACTCGTAAAAGGAAACAGGATTGCGCCTTTAATCAGGAATATATTTTTACCTCTCTACTTAGCAGTGAAGTTTATGAAGTTGCTAGTTTACATACACAGACCATTTCTTCAAATCCTGCTTGCGATCATTGCAAGATCACCTATGATCTTTGTCTGTCTGTCTATGATTACGTTGGCAAAACCTATAACCAGGCAGAATCAAAAAGAATGTTATCGTTGCTTTTTGGACAGTTTTTTTCTACATTGGTTCTTTGATATTTAATACTATGCTTCAGTAACCATTGTGTGTCTGCAGCAGTACAGCTGCAGTACCTTAATGTAACTACTGCACTGAATTTGCCTTTTGAGTAATGAGCAGGTTTTATTGAGAGACGCATTTGTGCTTACAAAACTGCCTGTATGTGTGGTCGCTGTATTGCCAAAAAGAGAGTGATGCATTACAAAATTTGTAACTGATTTTTCAAATGTGAGTTTGCAATTGGTCTAGTGCCAGTTACAAAACACAGTTCAGGTAAAGGATGATTTCAAAGCGGGGGTCTCAGACTCCAGTCCTCAGGGGCCGATGTCTTGCAGTTTTTAGATGTGCCACAGGTACAAAACGCTGGAATGAAATGGCTTAATTACCTCCTTTTTGTGCAGATCACTTCTCCAGAGCCTTGCTAATGGCTAATTATTCTTTTCAGGTGTGGTGCAGCAGAGGCACATCTAAAGGTTGCGGGGCAGTGGCCCTCCAGGACTGGAGTTTGACACCTGTGTCTTAAAGGAATATGTTGCACATGGCCTAATAAATGCAGTTTCTTGCACTTTGCTGTCTACTGAGGAGCATTTTTGCCTCTGAACTTGTTCCACTGATTGAAATGAAAAATAGGTAGATTTGTTTTATTATTATTTTTGTATTTTCTGTGTGCAGATTGTTTCTGAGGGCCTGAGATGCTGAGACGATCAAGTGCAACAAATGTCCCATGGTACAAAATTGTTAAATACTTGTAGTCATTTCCTACTAAATATTGGGGAAAAATGTTTTAAATACAATTATATAAATTCACAATGTTTTCACAACTTTCCAGTGTAATTTTATATGCATCTGCCTCATTTGCTTTGTCTCCTGTTAAATCATGCATGGAAAGTGTATTGTATTATTTAGTTTCAGATCTTTTGTTTGACTGCTTTTTTAAAACATTTTGGTTATCCAGCTGTACCTTTATATATGTAAACATTCATTATTTACTTTTTGCATTGTAAAATACCACCATGTTGACTTATTTAAATGCATTCTCATTACAGAGCAAAAATAAAGAGAAGTGCACTGATGAAACTTCTACAAAATGGGCATGTGTTTCTTATAGTACCATTTTATGTCTCTTAGAAAGCAATTAAATCATACTCCATTTGTGTCCATGCATTAATCCACTTTCATTTTAATTTAGATACTCATCATGTTGTCTCATATTTGCTGTTTTGCATCCAAGGCTCTTTCTTTCGGCTATCGTTTATTGAAATCTATTTTACTAAGATTTTGATCCAACCCGCTCCCATCCCCCCGCCAAGCGACTTCTACAGAAAATGAGATTATGATGTTACTTCCTCTTTGGTAATCACAACACAATTTCACCGCAGAAGTGCCGATGAGCAGAGTCTTCTAAAACTCCTTGTTTAAATAAGGGGTTGCTCCAAAAGCTCCCTCAGTGTAAGAGACCTGACTCTGCATTGAGAATTTTTTTTTTTTTAATTTCATGAATACATTCAGGAGATACTTTTCTATAACGATGAATCCTAAAATGTCTTCATTTCTCTGTTTTGGCTTGGTATAGGCACTTTAAAATTATTCCTGCACAGAAATAAAACATGCATTGTTTTGTTGTTTCATTTTTTTTTTTACTGCTTGAATTTTAGAAAACTTGAGCATTAAAGCAGATCTTTGGATTTGTAAACAGCACCCAGTTCCTCTTTTTTTGCATTGCCTGCATAAAGACTCTTACACATACAAACAGACCCACTCGCATGCACACGCGCTAACACATGCACAGAGGAGAAGAAACCATGTGAATGAATGCATATTTTCACCAGGCACTGCTCTGCTGCCTTTTGTTTCAATAAGGTGAATATTCTGGGTTTTTAATGCTCAGATGTAACTTCCTGTAAGCTGTGGAAAATTAACAAAGTTATCGTATCTTGAAGGGCTTCGTGGCTCGGCAAACATTTGATCTACCAAACCCACAGACCAATCAGTTTTAAGCCTCTCTCTCTCTGTGCACTGTGACCCAGAGAACATCTTTTTCTCATACTAAAGACAAGAAGATAAAGATGCATTATTATTATGCAGACACGAGTTCCACAAAACTACATGGGCATCCAGAAAGTTTAGTTACAGGGCATCCAGGTGCCATACCAGGAATGTTGCAAAGGAGTAAAGTACTGCTGGGACGGTGAAAGTGGACAAGAGTAGATCGGCTGAACCTGCGCTACATAGTAGTTGCTAAAGTTTCCATCTGACACATAAGGAGCCGGCTGGTAGAAGCAGGTTACATTGGCAGCGTTGAGAATGGCGTTCTGCTCAGCCAGGACTCGAAGAGCCAGCGACGAGATGAGGCTAAGCGTCTGACGCCTCTCGTGTCCCATCAAGCACACCGTGCTCTCCCTGACCACGTCATACAGCGTGGCCAAATAGTCATACTTCCTCTCCTCCAGGTCCACAAAGTGGTTCTGCAAGTAGGACTCCAGCTTCCTCCGCTGCTCACCTACGTCGGGGAAATCTATGAAGAAGCGGGAGCACATGTACCGCTGCAGCAGTTTCATCTCCGCGTCGGACGCCGCGCGGAAACCTCGCACCAGCAGGTGGCAGTACTTGAGGAGACCGCCACCCCGGATCTCCTCGGGGCTCCGGGTGCAGATGAGCCGCTTCCGCAGGTGATCCAGTGCGGTGGGGAAATCTCCGTAGACGCTCTCGCCGATGATCGTCGGGTGGAAGGTGGCGGCCATGGGGTGTTCGGAGCACTCGTAGAAGAGAAGGAGGGAGTCCAGGCGGATCTGGAAGGAGTCCACACTGAACTCAAACTGCCGGCGGAGAGAGTCCACAAACTTCAGCTCCACGTTTTTGCCGTGGTTGTTGGAGAGCGAGATAAGACTCCAGCGGTCCGAGTCATTGCAAACCTTCACCATCTTCTGAACATAAGCTTCCTAGAAACAAAGAGATTGGGACTAATCAGCCGTTGACACAAATGGAAAATATTGATCTGGGCACTTTTATGGGTCATTGAGGTCACAGTGGAAAAAAAAAAGAAGAAGAGGACAATTCAAAGCAGTGTCTATGGTCTTACTTTAATAACAATGAAAGTGTACATTAATGAAAATTCTCTTGGTAACTTAATATTAGGCTGCTTACCAATATTTTAAGGTTTCAACGCACTGATAGTCATTTTATGACAGTATGCAACATTACCCTTTCTCCTTGCTGGGCACTGCTGGTCAGGTGACTGAAAAAGGCTACTCTGACTACGACTGCGCTTGTCTGACACTTAAAAATAAGACTAATTGAGCTGCTTAGAACTACTTCAGATTGTAAAAATCACTCTTTAAAGTAGAAAAATTTTGAAAGATGTGATCGTGAAGCTACAGGAGATATAAATGGATTGTCTGACATTTGGTATTGAATTGGCAAAGAGGTTTAATGTTCTGCATGATATTTGAAAACTACTATTAAATTTATAGCATGTTTTATGATCACATTCGCTTACATTTTATATATTGCATTGAAGTAAATGGAAAACTGCAAAAAAATAATGCTACTTTTTTTGAATGATCCCAACCAGGTGTAGCTTTTGGTTTTAATAAAAATCAATTCTCCTGGTACAAATGACAACATTTCTTGAAATACTTGAAGACTATCCACCTTCCTGTAATCCATCTCGGAGGCCCACTAACCGTCTTCCTCTCTTGTACTCCCCTTCACAGCTGCAATGTGGTTTCAGCCATTGCAGTGGTCCAAACATGTCTCCCTATCTGGCTATTACACCCAATCTGACTCATAGGTTCATATTTATGTTTATGGTTTTTATCAGTCAGAAGTTCAGTAGGAGAAGAAATTCATGAACTTTTGGTTGTTGACAGCTTCAGCAACCCCACATTAATTCTGTTTGTGCAGATAAAAATCTTAGTCATGATGCTTTGAGGATCACATCTGTTGGTGGGCCATTAGTAGCCACTGTAGTCCTTGGTATCCAGGTAACTGAGGGCCGAATGATTAATGTAGGGCTGGCTCCAATTGGATTAGACAGAATCCTGTCTGAACTGGAAGCCAGCCCCTTTTTAAAATGTGCAGGCTTCTAGTTTAGGCCAAACTGAACCCTATACATTGGTGAGGCCTACTCAAATACAATTTAGGGGTATTGCGTTCAAAAGTTTAGATTTTCCAGAATCTTTTATTTATTTATTTATTTTGAAAAGCTGAAAAGTTCTGGTTCCCCCACGCCCCCAAGTTCTGCTGTGCAAAGAGCTGATGTGTAATTACCTTTAAGGTCAGAGGTGTGATCTTCTCTTTATTTACCCCTTCAGGCAGGAAGTCCAGAAGAGAGTCCAGGACCAACTCTTTTACTAACTGAAACTCCAACTCTCCCTTCAGGTCCGCGCAGAATATTAAGTCCAGATCTTTCCATCCCAGACCGCTATCCTCATGCAAGACGTAGCTGGCCGCGGATCCGTTCAGGCGCACCTCCCGGACGTGTATCCGCTTCTCCTCCATGCGGCTCCGGACCACATTGACGATGTCCCGCGGCTTCACCTCCAGAGTGGGGAAGCTCCACCGGCCGTGGATGGGTATTGAGCCCGTGAGGATCGCGTCCAGCCGCTGCACTTGCTCCCAGTTGAGCACGCTGAGGCCGACGCTCTCCGCGTCCGCGCAGCTGTTCCCGGCGAAGTTCTTAACGCTTTCGTCCATGCCGACGGTGCTGGTGAGAGGTAGACTGCTGGGTGTACGCGGTAAAAGGTGACTCCAGACTCAGCCGGAGCTGTGACATCAGAGAGCCTCGGAGCTGAGGTCGATCATAACAGATGCATGGCAAGAAAAAAGAGTTGCAGAGCGGCGATGTCCTACTTTCTACCTCAAGTGTGCATGCCGGACGGATTCACAGAGCGAGTCACTTTTAGCAGCTTTAAAGCTCCACATTGGAGGAAATCACAATGATAATAATTCCCTCCTTCCTTCTCAGCCTTTCGTATCCATTTCGCTGGAAGAAAAAAAAATACAAATCCCCCGCCGAAGTTTTACTTCTCTCCTCAGCCTCTCTCACTTTTACGCACAGATTACTGAACGTCCGTGGTGCGCAGCTGCAACTTTACGCATCGTTTCTTTTCTTCTTTTCTCTTTTCTTTTAAGGCTTCCAAAGCACACGTCCTTTCAACAAGCGGTGCAAAGCTGCTTCATTCTTTACATTTTTGTCCCTTTTCGTCGTTCGGTGGTCCTGCGTTCAGAGGTCCCACTGCACAGCTGCTGGGGGAGGCTGCGAAACACATAAGCGCTTCCCGTCTGCGGAGCACCTGGGCGGGCCGCGCTGATTGACAGCTCACACCTACTAATAGCCTTCCGCGGCTCGGGTGCGTGTCCGAGGGTCGAGGCGTGTCTGAGAACAAGGCGCCGAGACGTGGAGACACGGAACAGCAGGCCTCAGCAAAAAATAAATAAATAAATAATACATGAATAAATAAATTAACAAGTAAAATAAAATAAAAGTAAAATAAATATATATATATATATATATATATATATATATATATATATATATATATATATATATATATATATATATATATATATATATATATATATATATATATAATAATAAAAAATGTAAAAGTAAAACTTTTAAACTCTAAATTTTGTGCCACTTCCATCCTCTCACTTAACAGAAACGAGTTAATGACAACTGTCACCCTTGTTCTACATTGTGCGTCATAATTAGGGAAATGATAGTTTTATTTCTCACTTGTTGCGTTTATAATGTATGTGGACAACATCCTGTTGACATCCTGTTTTTTTTATCAGACTCCAGGGGGATGAGTTACAAGCCCCAATAGGAACAATTATCTTTTACACATTTATAATATATTAATCTTTGTGCGGCCGAGTCAGCTCATACACGCGCTCTAGTGGCCATCAAAGCAGGACTCCTCAAAAGTTTTAGAAAGTATCACCTCACTATGTACTGTACTTTTCAAGTATCTCCAAGGTGGCTAAAACAGTAGAACAACAGAACTCAGATTTCAAAAAAAAAAAAAAACTGATTTACGGCATAAGCACAAAGGTGTTTCCTATCTGTCGGCACTGCGGAATTTGCTTTAGATAAGTAGGACATTTTACTCAAAAGCTGACACTTTCAAGGTTTAAGCTGAAAAAAAAGCTCCTCTGATAAACACTTGGGAGATTTCTTACTTGCCTGGCCTCGACCTCAAAATACAAAATGGCCACCTTGCATTTAGAATTCATCAGTCACAGTAAATAAACAGACAAACACACACACAAAAGGCAAAGAAACTAATAAACTTCTGCTCTGTGGCGGTTCCTGGCTGAAAGGCATTCTGGGAGATTGCTTCTTTTGGCACAGACTCTAATAATATATCTTAATTATTTGTGCTTTCACAGAGTAAGAATTTTATCAGCTGTTTGTAATATATGTTTGATCGTGTATTTTATTTTATTTTATTTCATCATTCATGTTTATATTACCACAACTTCTGTTTGTGAACATGTTGCTTCAGCTAATGCACAAAAGAGAGAAAAAAAAACACCTTATTGTTGTTTTGCATTGCTAATTGTAGTTAGCTCAATCACTGAGTTAGCATAGTTCCATAATTTATACTTCTAAAGATGCATTCACAATTATGAGTTTTAATTGATGCTCCATCATTTAAAGTTTGAAATGAAGCACAAAATAACTAGCTAACAGACTCACACCTGTCTGCTTTGTCTTGTATCAGAAATTAAGAAAAATAAATAAAAATTAAAATGCACTTCTTTTTGAGATAAAGCAAAGAAGACACACTCAGTTTGCTAGTTTTTCCAGTCAGTTGATTCGTTTGCGTCTACCTTGCAACTAACCGTGCCATTTTCCCCCACTTGCCACCAGAGTACTTTAGAGTTAGACTATGTTTTTTGGTCACCAGCTTACCAAAAACTTTTCTTTAAAAAGACAAAAGCTTGCAGAAAAGCCGCTGTGTGCACACTCTTAAAGCTAACATTCTCCTGACGCAATGACTAAATCTAAATAACACATGAATAAAACGGCACGCTTGCAATGAACTTCTCTGATGCTGCAGCTCCAAGCAGCTCATTGATATGTAGGCGTGTGGGCCAAAGTCTATGCAGGTTAGTTGTCATGCAGAATCCATCAGTGCAAAGCTTGGTGAGTATATTTGCGTCACTGCAGACGAGCCCATTAACCAGCTTATTGCGGATTACCCTCTATGTGCAGTGACACAAAGTTCACGCAGAAACAGATATGCGCAGAGACTCCTGTTTAAAATTTAACAGGTTACTGTTTGTGCCACAACCTTGTTCAAAAAATCTTAGCTGAAAAGTGTACATTTTTCCAGACATGCATGTTTGTTGAATTGTTAACTGAATGCAAGATCCGACAAAAGTTCACTCACTCAGCATAGAAGCCATAATGCCATGACTAAGATGTATAATCCATAGATCTTGAGGCATGTAGGTCAGGCTCATTGCAGCTATTTTGTTTTCTGTTTCATTTGTATTTGTTTATTCTCTAAGGTGCATGGCTGCCGTTTTCACTTCTTTGTTGTACCTGTCAGTCTGGTCAGTGAGTTCCAATAAGCAGAAACCGCATCAAAAATAATACACTTCTGCACATTGCAAACTGTGAACATTAAGTTCTATGCTTGCTCTGCTTCACTGTTTCCAGAACGCACACACAGTGCATCTCTTGGTCAGCAAAGAACAGCAGGCCAGTCACAAGTAACGTGCTCCCCATTCACCTACTGGCTCAGTGTCAGGCTTAGTGCTTGGGTACTTACCATGAAGCAGATTCCTTCCTGACCTTTGACTCTCCAAGTGGATGACACCAGCTTGGTTCTTGATGTCTGACGGCATCAGAGGATTGAAGGGGGATTTTCAGGCAGACCCCTTGTCAGGGTGCCAAAGCAAGTACAGAGACACAAAGTGACGATATGTAAATGTCTTTGAGTGTGCAGAAAGGCAGACTGGGACTTGCTTAGTTTAGCTCTAAGCTTTCTCAATCTTAGATTTTCATAGTTTTGCCAAAAAGCCCAGTTTCTTCCTGCCATCCTTTTCCATGCTTTTTCATTGACTGTTTGTACTATCATTACACGTGGAAGTTCATTATAAGATTATAGTAAACTCATTAGGCAAACATGCTTCAACTATGTTTCCTCCCACCCTCACTCATCTCACTTCCTTAACACCTTGTACTTTTGTCTGGATTTAAATTACAGTGCTGTGCATACATGCCAACATTTAATCGTAGTCTCCTTAAGTAGTGAAGAAATCTTAATCTCCAGCTGAACAAAGTTGCAAACTTCTGACAGCTCCTTTTCTTCACTTGGTGCTTTTCTTCACTTGGTGCTACAAGCACGCAAAAGATCTAAAAATCAATATTGTGAAATTCTGTAGAGTAAAAATGCTGATAAGAACCATCGGCATCTCAGCGTAGCAAGATAACATTTAGAGCTGCAGTGTCCGATGAGCTTATCAGGAGCCAAATACGTTTTCAAATATTTGAGGAAAGTTTTTTTTTTTTTTTACTGCTTGTATATCTAAAATATCTAAAAGAGATCACACATCAGAAGTGAAAATGAATTTGTTTAACTGTCACAGCTCCACACTGATCACAGTTCAGCATTCACTTTGGTTGTAGTTTTTTCACAAACCCCCCCAAGTCAGGGGGGCTTTCTGGCCGTCTCTGTGTGCTTTCTGGAAGGACTGAGGTGGCAATGTGAGTGTTGAAGTCAACACCAACTGTTGCGTCTCTGAGTAGAGAAGTGAAGTAATCTTTCCCCTACAATAATTGACTTATAAAAAGCTGTTTTTGCAAGTATTTTGAGACGACCTACTGCCACTGCGAAATGCACCAAGAGAAATCAGCTCTCATAAACTTTACGAGTAGTTTGTTGATCAGCAGTGATGCTAGAAACAGACCAAACATTACACTATTTTTACTCGTTGAAATTGAGTTGCTTGGTCATTGAATTTAGGCATAGTGCTTTTACTTAACTCTTTTGAATTTGTTGGGGCTGCACAGTGGCAAATTGGTGGCATTGTCGCCTTGCAGCAAGAATCCCCGTCTGGTGACTCTCTGCTTGCAGTTTGACGGTTTGTCATGAATGACTAACCTAAATTCTCCTTAGCTGTGGGTGTGTGTGTGCATGATTGTTTGTCTTGTCTGTCTCTGTGTTGCCTTGCGATGGACTGGCAACCTGTCCAGGGTGTACCCCCCTTTGCCCGTTGACCACTGGTGTCCATCTCCCCAGAGGTGTCCACTTTGGGTTAAATGTGTTAGAAATAGATGTAATCTTGTGTTTCTTAACCTATGACTACGTTACTGATCAGTTGACTCATGACTTAAAAAAACGAGGAGGCATCTCAGTGACTGAACTGTTTTGTCAAAGTAGGTATCGATAGCATCAGTTAGTATCACATTTGGTAAAAGACTTGATAGCATACTAACTAATTTTCATGATCTCTTTTAATATAAAAAGCAAATAATGGAAATCCATAACATTTTATTTAAAGAGGTGTGCATAGGACTGACATGAGGCTGTCATAAATATGACACAACACCTGCCATGAATATGAATGACTCTTTCCATTTGGTAAATAAGGACACTTTTAATGCAAAGTTGTGCTAAAATTTCCATTAATGCACACTCCTGTAAATAAAGTGTTACCAAAACATTTTGCTCTAAAAATGACCCCAGGACCGTTACATAAAGACTGCATACTGTTTATTGGACACCGTGCAGAGAGGGGCTAAAATGTATATTTTTCTTGAAGGTGTTGCTGACTTGTGCAGCCTGCAAATTTACTCTTTAACACCATAACGATGTGAAACACAAGCTTGCCAGTTTAAAAAACAAATGATATACAATGTACTTATTCAGGATAGTGGATATTATCAGTTGACACATTTGTGTCTATAAATAAACGGTGCAACTTGCAACTCTTTCACCCAATAGGCTACATGGTGCAACACATGTTGCGGTGAAGCAAGATTTCATTGACACAATAAAGTTTCGAGCTGACATTGCACATAATATACTGGTCCCACGGCCGTTTATCAGGGAGCTATAGGGTTAGGGGATTTCATACTTTCACTGGAAACTGACTGAGTTGTTAGAATAAGAAACACTTGGCTGGCAGATACGTTGATTTCATTGTTGAAGCTACAACACAACAAATTTCAGTGCATGACATTGCACAATTTATCAGTTGTGGTGTTAAATACAGAACTACACACCCATCTGGTGTAAGTTAGATCTCATAAGAAGGACCAGTGAAGAGAGAAAGAGGCAGTTTTATTTG